AGGAACGTGCGGGGGCACCCAAAGCCACACGAGGGAGCCAGTACGAAACGTAGGCGCTATGTGATGAGCGTCATCATGTCGGGTTTTTTGTAGACCTTGAGCCTCACTTGTCATAGACCGAGCCAGCTGACGGCAGTCTTCAGCGTATCTGGCGACTTCCGAAAGCGGGGAGCACTCCGATGCATCAGGGCGGTACGGGAGTATGGTGTCGAGTGGGTGGGATGGTTCGCGGCCGTACAACAGAAAGAACGGGGAAAACCGGTAGTCGCTTGCGTCGCGGTGTTGTAAGCGAAGGTAACAAAAGGCAAGACAGCGTCCCAGTTAGTATGGTCGGAGGAGGTGTACATTCTCAGCATGTCACCAAGTGTGCGGTTGAACCCTTCAGTGACACCATTCGACTGTGGATGGTATGCGGTAGATTTCCGGTGGATGATGTTGCATTCAGCGAGAATAGCTTGGATGACCTCTGACAGAAACACTCGACCCCTATCACTGAGTAATTCCCGTGGAGCCCCATGGCGGAGAATGAAGTTGCGGAGAATGAAGAGTGCAACTTCGTGGGCGGTCGCTGCTGGTAGAGCTGCAGTCTCAGCGTAGCGTGTCAGATGATCGACGCCGACAATAATCCACCGGTTTCCAGAGCGACTATATGGGAGGGGGCCATAGAGGTCGATACCCACGCGGTCGAATGGGCGAGCTGGGCATGGGAGCGGCTGTAACATGCCAGTAAGGTGCCGCGGAGGTGTCTTGTTTTGTTTGCAAGTGGTGCAAGACTGAACGTATTTCTGCACAAAGCGATACAATCCTCGCCAGTAATAGCGTTGGCGCAGCCTTTCGTAGGTTTTCAGGACAGCTGCGTGAGCACTTTGGGGATCTGCATGGAAATTCATGCAGATGTCAGAGCGCATATGAGTTGGGACAGCAAGGAGCCACTTCCGACCACCAGGCATGTAGTTGCGGCGGTACAGAATGCTGTCTCGCACGGAAAAGTGGGCTGCTTGTCGGCGTAGCGCTCTCGTGGAAGGGACAGCAGACGGATAGGTGAGGTAGTCGAGTAACAATGCAAGGTATGGATCTTTACGCTGCTCCGAAAGCATGTCAGTGGTGTCTATTGGTGACAAGGTGGTAAAAAGTGGTGACAGAGAAGCCACATCTGGGGTTAATGGCGATCGCGAAAGTGCATCGGCATCCGCATGCTTGCGACCGGAACGATATACTACACGGATGTCGTATTCGTGTAATCGATGTGCCCAACGTCCCAGGCGTCCGGACGGGTCTTTCAATGTGGACAGCCAACATAGAGCGTGGTGGTCTGTGACCACGTCGAAAGGGCGGCCGTAAAGGTACGGGCGAAACTTCGTCAAGGCCCAGATTATGGCCAAACACTCCTTCTCTGTCACGGAGTAATTCAATTCAGCCTTCTTGAGAGCGCGACTTGCATAGGCGACTACGTATTCGGCTTGGGTGCCTTTCCTTTGTGCCAAAACTGCACCAAGACCGATGCCACTTGCATCGGTGTGAATTTCTGTGGCAGCAGCGGGGTCGTAGTGACGAAGAATGGGTGGTGAGGTCAGCAGGTGGCGCAGCTGGCGAAATGCGTCGTCACATGCAGGTGACCATGCAGATATACCTTTCCTGTTGGAAAGCAAACTCGTGAGAGGTGCGATGATGGACGCAAAGTTGCACACGAAGCGACGAAAATAGGAGCAGAGACCAACGAAACTTCTTAGGGCTTTCAGTGATGTGGGCAATGGGAAGTCAGCGACAGCCCGAAGCTTATCGGGATCCGGAAGAATACCGTCTCTTGTGATGACATGTCCCAAGATGGTTAGTTTTCGTGCTGCGAAGTGGCACTTCTTGGAGTTAAGTTGTAGGCCTGCAGAAGTTAGACACGTCAGAATCTCGTGGAGGCGAACAAGATGTGTAGGAAAATCAGACGAAAGCACTACGATGTCGTCCAGGTAACACAAGCAAGTTTTCCACTTATGGGCACGCAATATGGTATCGATCATGCGCTCGAATGTGGCAGGTGCGTTGCAGAGCCCAAATGGCATCACTTTGAACTCATATAGGCCATATGGCGTTACAAAGGCTGTTTTAGGGCGATCACATTCAGCCATTGGCACCTGCCAATACCCAGAACGCAGATCCAAGGATGTAAAGTACTCGGCGCCTTGTAAACAGTCAAGAGCATCGTCTATTCGTGGTAGTGGGTAGACATCTTTCTTCGTAATCTTGTTTAAGCGGCGATAGTCCACGCAAACTCGAACGGTGCCATCTTTTTCTTTACCAGAACGACAGGTGATGACCAAGCGCTTTGAGAAGGCTGTATCACTCCACGTTTAAGCATGTCGTCTACTTGCTCCGTAATGAAGCGGCGCTCTTCGGTGGAAACGCGGTAAGGACGCTGTCGCAGAGGCGAATGTGAGCCGGTGTCAATAGTATGAGTGATAGTCGTGGTGCGGCCCAAAGCAGGTTCTTGAAAGTCGAAAGAAGAGCGAAGCTTGTTAAGGAGAGCAACAAGTTGGCGGCGATGCGAGAGGGGAAGGTCTGCGTCAATAGCATTGCCGAAGGCTTACAAACTTGATGGCTCAGACGCATGAGTTATTGCGGCAATGTGACATGGCGTTTTGTCGGAAAGAATAATATCATCGATATGATCGACAGGTTGCACATATCCCAACGTTTCCCCATGAAGTCAGCCAATGGGGTAGTTGCAGTGGTTGGTAACCAGCATTACGGTTAAACCAGATGCAATTGTAAGAACGGCAAATGGCAGAACGATGCCCTTGCGTTCAGTAAAAACAAGAGATGGCCTAAACACCACCGTGGCGTCAGGTTGAGCCACACATGGAAGGCTTACAGGGACCGAAGCTTCCGGGGGCAAGGTGATGTCGTCGTCACCGATGAGTTTGCAGAGCCGAGGAGACCAGTCGGGTGGTGGAAATTCATATGTTGGCACAAGGGACACTTCGGCACGGGAACAATCGATGATAGCTTCATGACCTGATAAGAAGTCCCAACCGAGGATAAGGTCATGAGAGCAAGATGGCAGAACAAAAAACTGCACGACGTTCAAAATGTCTTGGATGACGACGCGCGCCGTACACAGAGCCGAGGAATGAATGCGTTGCGCGCTAGCCGTGGACAGCACCATGCCACAGAGAGATGTGGTCACTTTCTTCAGTTTCCGACAAAATTTGGCGTCCATCACAGAAACAGCGGCCCCGGTATCAAATAACGCTAATGTGGCGACTCCCTCAACATCGACATCAACAACATTTTTCGGCGAAAACGGAGGCCTTGGGAATTGCGCACAAGTTGCAGTTCTTGCCTCCGGAACTGCACTGATTAGTTTCCCTCCTCAGGAGGTGGTCGACGACGCATAGGCGATGGCGACCGGCGACGAGGGGATGGGAAACGAGCAGTCGATGGGCGGCGATCCGAGTCTGAGTGCCTTTGTTCATATGCAGATGCGGTGGCCTGCTGCGGCGCGTAGGTAGGAGTTCCGAAGTATGTGTTTCCAGGTGTGGGGCGACGGCGGCAAAAGCGTGCAATGTGGCCAGCGATGCCACAAACGAAGAAGATAGGACGATTGTCTTGGAGGCGCCACTCATTAGATCGACGGAAAAAGCGAGGTGAGGGCCTGTAAACTGGAGGCGAGGCCGGAGGAGGTGGAGCTGATAAGGCGACTGGATGCGGTGGGGGCCGCGCGACCACAGCTGCGTAGCTGAGAGGTGAAGGTGGTGCAGGTGGTGCGTAGCCGACAGCTGAGAGATTAGGTGCTACTGAAGTGCATGGGTAAGGGGCCTGCTCTGTAGGGAGGACATCACAAATGTTCGTGCGTATGGCCTGCTGCAGTGTCGTAGGCAGGCTTGCGGTGGGCGCGTCGCTATGCGGCAGCAGGGAGAGCTGTCGGGCGACTTCCTCCCCGATGAAGTCTTTAATCTGGTTGGACAGACCTTCTTGGCAAACCTTGGCATTTGTGAGAGCGACGGCCGAGATCGAATCCGGCGGTGGAACACTCTGTCGGGCGATAGAACGCTGACGGCGCAATTCATCAAAGCTCTGGCAGAGGCTTACGAGGATTGCCACCGTGTTCGGGCTTTTCGCTAGCAATATTTGGAATGCGCCATCCTTGATGCCCTTGAGAATCTGCCGAATTTTCTCTTCTTCGGGCATAGATGGATTCACACGCCTGCAGAGGTCGAGCACGTCCTCTATGTAACTAGTAAATGCCTCGCCAGGCTGCTGGGCTCGGTGGCGCAGGCGCTGGTCAGCGCGGAGCTTGCGGACCTCTGGTCGGCCGAACGCTTCAGTGACGAGTGTCTTAAAGGAGGACCAGTGGGCGATGGCGGTTTCGCGGTTCGTAAACCAAAGTTTAGCTACGTCTGCCAAGTAAAAGATAACGTAGGCGAGCTTAGAGTCGTTGTCCCACTTGTTGCTGGTGCTTACGCGTTCGTACAAGGAGAGCCAGTCTTCGACGTCTTGCTCACCACTGCCGCTGAAGATTGGTGGGTCGCGTTGGCGAGTAGCGCCGGGGCAGGTAGACGGGACAGCCGGTGGTGCTGACTGGGCTAGGATGGACTGGTTGGCGACTGCGTCAGTCATGTTTTGCAGTGGTCTCTCGGGCAACTTGCGAGAGCGGATGTCCAGGTCTGCTTGGGGATCTCAGCAACCTCCACCAAATGTGATGACGTTTATTGAACCGAAGAAGTCGCAACGATGTCGCAACGAAAAATGGCCGTACGACAAGTCTGGCAAAAGGCGGCCCAGGTTCTCATGCAATCAGAGCACGGGGTTTTTCCTTCTCTTTGGAAGGCGCATACACGTTAGTGCGTATGCTCCACTACACATGTTATTCTTTAGTGCATTACACAGCACAAGTAGTTCAAACTGTAATAAAAGTTTTCCCAAAAATAGAAAATCGGTTCCTCTCAGCTCGTATCTATGGTCAGAATATTATCATAAATGCCATCTTGTTTTTTTCTTCGTTTTAGATGCCCAAGCTGTTACCAACTACACGTTTCGTCATGTGATTAAGGACTGCGCTATTGTTTTCAAGGAAAAAGAAAAGAACAAAACAGGTAATGCTTTTACGGCCAGTAATACGCAATGCTTAGCGTGTTCAACGTAAAATCCTTACAAAAACCAACAAAATTATACCGATGCGTTTTGTAGTGTAATGAAACTTCCACATGAAACAGTTGCTATAGACATGAAGACAAATGCACACGTATACACACCCAGCACCTTGTTCATATGTGTGATGCAGCCATGCCTGTTTGTGTCCTCGGTGATGCTGTTAACCATAGAAGGGTCAGTACTAGATTCTATAAATAATAAAATATGGTCCAATAGGAAACGTGCTCTTAACAGAAATACAAACATCATTTCAAAGGCTCTGCTTGCTTCCTAGAGAGAGAGAAAGAGGAAGAATATCAGAAAGGTAGGACGATTGAATAGACTGAGTGAGTTTGCTGCAATATACAAAAACAGTAAAAGGATGAAAGAAAACAAACAGCCGAAATATACTTTCCAAGACCACAGCGTGGCTTAATGGCTAGCACTTAAAACACCGAATAATCTGATAGGCAAGAATAGGCATCAGTCGAAATACATTTGAAAGCACTTCCGTACAGATGGCAAGTGAGTTTCGGTTTCAAATCCTAGTGCACGGCGCGCCTCCGAAATTTCTATTCTTTGGTCTCCATCTCCTCGTTGACCGGAAAGACCGTGAGAGGGGGGAGAGGCTCAGCTTTCGCGTGACGACAAGGGTCAAGACAGCAGTGAGTTGTATAAGCGTCCTTCTTTTCTCTTCGAGCGTAATAAATATATCTTCTCTTCCGCTCTCTCACTTGACGTCGCTAATCATCACCCAATATCCTTGACAAGCACTATTTGCAAAATGCAAGAGCACATTATTCTTAAGCATATCATTAGTTAACTTGAAAACGAGCACAATTCGTCACCATTTCAGCACGGCTTTTGTAAGGCCTATCAACCATTGCGCAACTCACCAAATGAATACATGAGCTGTCATTGGCCATTAACCATCAAAATCAGATGGATCTCATTTCACTCGACTTTTCAAAAGCATTCGACCGGTTTTCGCATAAAAAATTATCAATTAAACTGCAGGTGACAATAGGTAAAGGACATATCACAAAATGAATTAGCGCATATCCGACTGAGCGAACGTAGTTTGTAAAAATAAACGAGCAAACATCAGAACTATTAAACGGTACATAAGTGTACCGCAGGGCAGCGTCTTTGCCCTTTTTCTATTTCTTACATTTAATATTGATTTGCCCCAGTCCATTGGAACGAACATAAAGCTTTTCGACGACGATTGCCTCATTTATAAAGAAATAAACTCTTCTTTGGACCAAATCGCCCTTAGCAATACCCTGTTATCAGTATCTTATTGGTGCGAAAAATCGCAGATGAACCTAAATGTGAAAAAATCAGTTTTGTTAAGAATATCGTGTAAACAATTGGAAGCATAATTTGACTACACTTTTGACGACACACCGCTAACTTCCCTAAACATATAATGACCTTAAAAGGGAGGTGCATGTTAACTGTATTACACCTTCAGAGTTAAACAGATTAATTTCTCTAAAAAGACGACTACCTTCCACACCATCTCACACAAAACTCTTAGCCTATAAAACCTTAATCCGCCTATTGTTAGAATAGGCTAACTTAGTCCGGTTCTCGGAAACGAAGAACCTATGTAAAAAGCCACAAGGCGTACAAAGGAAAGCAGTTAGATTTACCTATAATAAATACAGTTTCCTCGATGCACTCACTGAAGTTATCGCAAGAGTCGGGCTACTAACATTACGAAATCGCGCTAAACTCACACGCCTAAAAATGTTCTTCCAACTTATTCATAGGCAGCTAAGCATCGACAGCTCTAGATTCATATATACTTCCGAAACCAGAAAGTCATCCCATAAACATCCACTAACATGACAGGAATACCGTTTCAGCACCAAGTGCTTTAAGTATTCCTTCTTCGCGCAGTTGTTTAGAGAATTTAATAAATTTACCGCTTGCCTAGCTAATAGTAAAGATTTGGATACTTTTGTAAGCTTACTCGAAAACCAAATTCGTAACACTCATGCCTGAAATGATGTTTTTTTTCTATGTTTCTTTTCTCACTTGAACAGTTCTTGGTTGCTTTTTCAATATGTCAGTGTTATCAGTGGATTACGTAGTATATAATTTTCGTGCATATCAGCAAGACATAGGTTGTGCTTTTATGCTCCTCATGTATCATAATAGAATATATGTAGTCGCGCATTTTCGCATTTGGGTGCAAGTGTATCAATTCTGTATTTGGTTGTATATGTAATTCTTGTGTATTTTGTTTACCATCCTGTAATAGTCCCCATAGCAACTGGCAGTAGATAAAAATAAATAAATAGTTAAAGAATAAATATTTCAACATATTATATTTTCTCTTCGGCTTTTTCTCTCTGTCCCAAAAACTGGCAGATCTATGTAGAGGGGGAATGGTTACGCGAAGCACGAATGCGGAAGATGAATATTTCACTTTAACATCCGCACAACATTTCTAGGTGGAGCTAAATTTTGCGATACATGACTTCCATGTCATGATTATTATGTTTAGAAGTGTCATATAGCTTCGCGGTCTATTCACGTCACGTGATACGAAATTTGGGTATATGTAGAGCTAGCGAAACGGTCACGAGCACGCTATGAGCGCAGCATGTAGTCATGTTTTACATGGCACGCATGTCATCATTATCATGTTTGGATGTGTCATTTATCTTGGTCATCTGCTCACGTCACGCAACTACCAAATTTAGTATTGGTGAAGCTAGCGATCGATACGGCTGTGAGCGCATCATGAGCGTGGTATTTTGCCATGTTTTTACACGACATGCGTGTCATAATTATCATGTTTCCACCAGTCACATACCTACGCTATTCATTCACGTCCCGTAATACCACATTTGGTATATCTGAAGCTAGCGAACGGCCGTGAGCGCATTATGAACGTGGCATGTAGTCACGTTCTCACATGACACGAATGTCATGATTATAATGTTTGCACCAGTCATATGCCTTCGTCATTCATTCACGTCACGTAGTAACAAATTCGGTATATGTGAAGCTAGCGAACCGCCGCGGATGCGTTATGACCGTGGTGTGTAGTCATGTTCTTACATGACACGCACGTCATGGTTATCGTTTTTGCCCCAGTCATATATCTTCGCAATCTATAGACGTCACGTAACACAATACTTGGTATATGTGAAGCTCGCGAGACGGGCAAGAGCGCATCATGAGCGCGGCATGTAGCCAGGTTTTAGGGGTGAAGCTCTTCATGGCGTCACTTGTGCGTCACAATAGAGGACTCATAGGTCACATCACAGGGCAGTGTTATAAGCGACGAGGCAAATTCATTGCGCTTCCCTGGTAAAAATACATGCCGAGTAGCGCGACGTGATCTCGTGTCATCCACTGCTGTTCAGACAGTTCTCAAAGCTGCGGAAGCGACTCCAGCTTGTTGGTAAGCATGCCAATTTTATGGGTTTTTTAAGGTGTCTGTACTGGAGGTGAGACAAGCATGACAGGAGCCAATAGCTGCGTATGTACCTGTGATGGTGAATCTGGGACCCGCTCTTCGAACTACTCTGGAACCTTAGTGCAAAATAGTGTCTGATAAGGGCACAGAGGGGGAGACAAGCAGCGGGGAGCAGCACACACGACGCCTTTTGTAATGCAGCTAGAAAAGCTCTCTGTTGGGGGGCTGCAGGGCACCAATGGCAGATCAAGAAGTGTCAACAAAAGCTTCATGGTTAATGATGGGCAGAGTTGTGGTCACCCGAGCTTCACAACAGAAGTTGTGGGTCTAGCATCTGTGATGCGTGGCAGATACTTGGTCGTCAAGAAGGAGGTCTCATGTATCAATAAGTGCGCAAAAAACACTTGTCAGTCTGGCACACCATTCTATCTACGATCAGTATGTGATGCCTTCGTAGGCATGATACGCCTTGGTGGCATCACGAAGGCGGTCGCTGGCCACTAGCAATTTCTGATTCTTGAGACAGCTACGGAGGGTGGAGAGAAAGTGCACGGATTCAAATCACCTATACGCGTCATCCTATATAAGCCGCAAAACAAAAGTACCGCCCAAACAGGCAAGAATGGTGAAGCGATAGGTGAGAGCCTGGAGTTCCACAAGTAGTCGAAATGACGAAATAGCGCTGCGAGGACACGAATGAACGCCCCACCATTGCCAAATGAGGTGCCCGGTGCACGGGGGGGGGGGGGGTTAGTTCGTGTAGTACGCGGTGGTCCTGGTGCACACGGCAGCTGGGGTTCAATGCTATGGATGCGTGCACGGCGTCCCTTGTCATGAACTAGTACAGGTGCAGTGGTGTGGATGCCACCGATGATGCCTAGACGCTGTACCCCAACAGTGATGGCGGTTGCGTCAGGTTAATAGGTAACGGGAAGGCCTGGACACCGTCGTCACGCTAAGATTACTGCGGCTCTTGCTTAGCGGGCTCATGCACGAGGAAATGGATACTTAATACAGCTTCACAATTGTAGTAAAGTAAGCAGGCTGGTGGGGTTGTTCTTTATCGTCCAGTCATGTCCTTGCTAAAGTGCCAGTCGAGTGCACGCCAGGGTTTGCATGTGTTGCGCTAGAGCACAAGCCTTTGTGCGTGCAGCGTGCATGTGTGTTCGAGTGAGTCAGTGTTTTTATTTCTTTTTTTTCTTCTTACGCATGGCCTTTTTCACCGTTTTATCAGGATAGTTACAGGAAGTGATTGTGACAGTACTGGCAAAGGGGAGTGTTTTTGTCTGATGCAACCATGATCACATCTACCATACAGCTACGTCCAGATTATTTGCTTTGTATGAAAAATAAACCATATCTTCCTCTAAATAATATATTGGTACTTTCATGTAGCGCCACATAGTGTTATGTTGCTCGTAGCTGAGACTGACTATCACTGACTAGCAATGTATCCTACTTCTGATCAAAGGACAATGAATAAAAACTGAAGAATGTGGTCTGAAAAACAATAATGCATTTGTAGCCATGCCGCCTACTCTCACGCACTCTCCCATAATTGACGCAAAAAATCATGAGAACAAGCCATAAGAAGTAGTAAAGTTTTCACACTCATGAAATATCCAGCGTGGCATGCAGTAAGTCTTTATCCGTTCCGCCCTCGCTATCGCATCACTGAAGGGCACCGAGTGCTACCCATTTGAAACAAGAGAGCCCCAATCCAGAAGCACTGGGTAGATAAACTTCCTCGCTAGGTATACAGCGAATGCGCAGCTCTTGCCTGTATTGATCCGCCGGTGCGCTTCGCGAGCGAGTGTTAGCGTAGTCCGTATTACGAGTTATTCTGAGTGCGCGCCAGTGTTATTGGTGCTCAAAGCATCGGTTATTGATTAAGTGATCCACGCTAAAGTGCATCAGTCTTTATACACGCGACAATGAATATTAGAGCAATACCGCTGGAGGCCAATGAATTCGGCCAATTTCGTTCGCGTGCATGCGCATAACAAATGGTTGCTGAATATTCTAGAGTGCTCCTAGATATTCAGGCGCGCACTGGACGAGATTGTAGGTTCGCTGTCAATAGTTATGAAAGGAAGCACCCCGTGTTGCTGTCGGCAATGCTACGCAGCTGTAAACAACTGATATTATAAAGCATATACGGCTTTTGAACATGCATATCTGTACGTTTTGTATGTCTGCATTATTTGGACACATCTTAAGCGTTTCACAAGGGCAAAAACTTGCGATCAGAGGCACCTTTTTTCTTTGTGCTCAAAATAACTTGGATTTCCATAACTCGTGGGACCTGCCAATTTTTTTCTATCACCGATGACGTAACCGATGGTTTCAATGGTTGTTCAGTACCACAAGCAGCTTGGCAGCGTAATCTTCGTTCTTCGTTTTGTGTGCTTCAAATCCGGATATTTTCATCTGAGGCTCCATGGTGCTTTGTTCTCTCACATGTTATAGCGCTTGATAAATAATTTCATTCGTCTTCTTAACCTCACCTAATCTGCTAAGTATACATTTATTTTTTCTCTTACAGGTGTAGTTTCAAGTTGGGAGCTATGGGTAAACAATCGGTTCAACACCAGCTCTGAGTTCTGCAAGAAACAATACCTAAAGGTGTGCAAATGCGACCAACCCATGCAATTCAACATGAGTGACTGTGAAAGACCACCACAAAACCAGGAATCTTTTGAATGACATTAAATGTCTAAAAAAGCTGTTGAGCATAAGAAAATGAGGAGTCACTGGCACTAAATAAAATTTTGAAGTGTCTTTCAGTTTTTGAGTTTGTTTGTGGTTCCACTACAGAAACAAGGAGCAGGAGCAAATGGCTGCGAAGGCCTGACAGAGGGCTCCCACTCCTGTTGGCATTCAGCATCAGTGGTACAAATGGAAATGCAAAATTCATCACACAAAGTTATACTAAATAAAGGTCACATAAGCAGTATACAGATGAAAATGATGAATAATAGATGATATAAAGTAACATGTAGGTTAATTCAAGTCAATCCGGATAAGTAGCCCGGATTACAAAAGAGTATATACGTGAGAAACGGTAGTAAAATACATCTAATTATAATTCTGCGGAAAAAAACTTTTCTGACTTCAGTGAAATATAACATGAGAAACAAGAGTGAATTGCATTATTCAATTGTGAATTTTGCTATTGCGATACTTAACACACCAAATCAATGTTTCCTCTGTTAAGCGAATAGTATCTCGTATCAGCAACATACTTCGTCAACAGGTCGTCGTCCCTTTATCAGAAGTTCTTGTGAATGAGAAAGCAGCTGAGCTAATTTGGAACGCAGTTTGCAGCATCTTGGTGTTAAATATCATTCACACTTGGCGGCAATTGCTGGGTAATATCCGGGTGGTGCGTGGTCTCGCATACGTGACTGCCATTCCACGAGACAGCTAATTCAATAACAGCAGCCACAAAACTATTATCAGCTTCTCGTTATCTGACTACCTTTATTGGGGACAGTTTTGCTCTACAACTAGTGACAGGCTCACCAGACGATGAACTGTCCGCGATGGCTCACGGGGGAGTCCGGCGTGTAGTGTGTGAATGTGTGGTACTTGTTCGATGAATTGCAGACGCAAAAAATATGACAGAGGCAGGTAAAGTTGTCCTGATGTAGAGCAAGGCGGCTATCTGTTCGTTGGGGTTGTCATCTTTGCGTCCTGTGGTGGATCCCGAAGAGTTCTATCGGCTTCATTCTGCACTTGATTCCATACATCGCTGTCTCGTCCTGGAGGTGAACCAGCATCGACTGTGTTTACCGGGCGTTGCACTCAGACCCCGAGCGGAGCCCTGTCATTTTTCTGGTGTGTCAGGCCGCTATGTCGGCCACCTGTACGATCATGGACGAGCACTTTGTTGCCATCGTTCAGGCATCAAGAAGAATTACGGCAATGACAACGGCAGCACACTCCACGCAAAAAGAAGCACGAATTCAGCGCGTATTTCTTGTGCGCTTGGTGCCGACACACCCTACCTCTAAGAACATTACGGTACCAAACATTTGTAGAATCAATAATGTAGCAAATCTGACGACACACGTACAGTGTGTTTTGATATGCTGTGTTACCGTAATCAATTAAAAAATTCACGTTTCCGATAACGTTTCCATGTGATGATAACACTTTTAGTGCTTCTAAGAGGGGGAGTGGATGCGAAAAGTTATCAGAAAGGGGTGGGGACGCTTCCAAAATTGGCAGAGTGAGCAGCCAGGTGAATGGTTTTTTTTAGTTATGCATGTCATAACGAAAACAGTTTTTGGGTGGGAGCACGGGTCTTGTGTGACAGCCCTTGGCTACGCCACTTCTCCTATGCCCACAAAGCATCACAATAATATCATGTAGGGAATAACAAAAGGGCTAACCACGAGGAAACAGCACTTTGCTTCAAAATATTCCCATGATTGCTGGTCTGGACAGCAGATTTTCTGCTCACTCATACGTAGATGAAGGCAACCTACGTTCTCTTATTCTGCGCCTGATCCCATTAGAACTTCAACTTTACGATCGCTGTTTCATTGAGCTTGGTCAATAGAACCTCGGCCAACAGAACTATTACAGAGCACCACTATTTTACGAAACTGCTTAGAAGAAAGAAGAACACCATACGAACGGCACATTGTGGAAGGAGTCTTCAACGTGAGTACTAGTGCTGGACAGAAGCGTGAAATCTCCCAGGCGTTGCCTTGCAGCGTCTGTCCTTGATAAAGAAATTGCAAGGGTATGCTCTTCTTGGTGAGATGTGCGAACTGCGTGGTGTGCGGAATCATTGCCTTTGATCCCACAGTGACCACGTAGATACTTAAAATTGGCCTCGTGACCTGTGTGTGGGACGTGTTGAGAAAACTTGACAATATCGTACGTTAATCCATTTGATCCATTTGTAGGGTTTAACGTCCCTAAACCACCATACGATTATTAAAGACGCCGTAGTGAAGGGCTCCCGAAATTACACCACCTGGGGTTCTAACGTGCACCCAAATCTGAGCAAACGGGCCTACAACGTTTCCGCCTTCATTGGAAATGCAGCTGCCGCAGCCAAGATTCGATCCCGCGACCTGCGGGTCAGCAGCCGAGTACCTTAACCACTGAGCCACTACGGCGGGGCAATATCGTACGTTAGATGTTCGTGGCAGCCCTATCGAAGAACTGATGGCATGCACTGTAAGGCCAGTTTCGAGTGGAAAACAGAGCCTACTTGCTTCGTCTCTGGGATGCAATACTCTAGTGCACTGCACAGAGCTGCAAGTTCTACCTCCGTATATGTAGTAACATGTGACAGCTTGGTTCGCAGCGTTATTCCTCTAGTGGTCATAACCACCGCAACACCACAACTAGACGTTGTGTTTGAACCATCAGAGTATATGTGCACGCGGTTACTTCAAATTTCGTGCAAAAAAAGCAGACTCACTTTTTTGGGGCGAAGCTCCTTAGGGCGTGGGCTGTGCGTCCCCTGTAGCCTGTATGTAGCCACCTCTAGTTTAGTTCTTGCAGTGTTCACTAGATGGCGGTACCGTCCCCTGTATGTAGCCACCTCTAGTTTAGTTCTTGCAGTGTTCACTTGATAGCGGTACCGTCTCCTGTATGTAGCCACCTCTCGTTTAGTTCTTGTAGTGTTTACTAGATGGTGGTACTTGTAGCTGATGATGAAAAGATGCAAGATGTTATAAACTAGAAAGCGGTACTTGTAGTTGATGAAAGACGCGAGATATTATAAAATAGGAATGATGTCACATATGGCGCGTGTCATTGGTTGAAGGCAATCGTTCGATTTAGTGTGGCGACGTACGCTAGGGGGAGCGATGTAATAAAATCGAGTGGGCAAAGTGTACAGAGGATTCATTGTTTACCAGGTTTACCTCCGGAGCTTCGCCCACTCATCATCATTCACTTCGTGGATATGGCGGAATTTTTTTTAGTCCTGCTGAAGACTACTGTGACTTCTGCTGCATTTCTGGAATTGTAGGACGCATTTGTGGAACGGCCAAGCCTATTCCACTTAGATGATTTCAGGCCTGCTCATTGTTTCTGCAGTGGTCTCGGACGTAACTGGTGTGTTTCGGTGTGTTTCGCTGCATAGGTGTGTTTTGCTGGTGTGTTTCGCTGCATAATGGTGTGTTTCGCTGCATAGACGAGCCTACGCTTGCTCTCGTGGCTCGACGGACATAGATAACTAAGTCTGATGAAAGTTTTCGTGGCGTGCTGGCACGATTGTTGGTGACTCGAGAGTGTGTTTTCCGCTGTTCGTGAACTGTAGCGTGGATATGTGATTCGCCTTTGTTTTGGATATTCGTAACCTGTACGGCTGCAAATCTTAGCGGTTGGGCAATTCTGCGCAGGGAATCGCCACGGCAAAAGAACGAAATTTGCGAAGCGTTTATTTGGAACGTGTCGTTCGTAGAGCTGACTGTCTGCATCCGTTTTCTTTGTGACACGGAGGTACGTGCGTGTGTACTAAATATTTTAAATCATTCCGATGGCACTATAGTGGAGACACCATGTTCCGTACTTGCACATAAATGGAGAAGGTCATGTGTGCTTCTGACTTGTTAGCCTAAGAGCGATCGCAATAAAGTAATGAACGCGCGTGGCAGTACATTTTCCGAACAGGCGTTTTTTTTTTCAGGGTCGGAAAGCAGATTGCTAGTGCCGATTAGCTCTGCGGGCTTCTTGTTATACATATATGTTTTTTTGGTTGATAAAAATAGAAGGAATGCTGTTGAATTGCTTAGTGCATCAGTTTTGTGCATGACATTTTCTTACCGGTGTTTCAACCACTTTAATTCGGCATTATAATTTTGGGCCAGCCTTGCCAGACCCTCAGTCTAATATGTCTCCTTGAAATTTTAATTCGTGAAGACGCTTACGATAAACTGCTTTTTTAAATGGTTTTCAGCTGTTCTCGCTCTACTTGAAACTAAAAACTTGAAAATCACTATCAAGTATGCAGATATAAGTACCAGCAGCGCAGTAGCAGTGCACACGGGGGCTACACGAATCAATCTAGATTCAGCACTAACACTTTTTCAGTGCCCTAAGCCATATTAGCAACTGTATACGGAACAGAGCGAGAGGAACCAGAGCAAAAGAGAAAAAGCCGCTCCTTGTGACGGTCCCAAGAGATTTTGGTAAAACAAAAGATGTTTCTACTTTTGCGAAAATGATCAACCTTATTTTGTTCTGAATAACATACTTGTGGCAGAAGCACACGCTCTCCTCTGTAACTACGTGTCTACAAAGACGGGTGTTCAAAGTAGTACAAATAAAACTGTATAAACTTTGCAAATGAGTAGGAACACTTTCTCTGCATGTTCCAGATAGTGTCTGTGTGCATGTGTGTGTGTGTGTGTGTGTGTGTGTAAATAAATAATGGTGAATAAAGTATGCCTTTTTTATTTCGTCACTTTGTTGGTACATCAAATTTGCTCCTATGAATCAACCAAACGTTTCGTAGAACACATTTTTTGACATTTCCATAGACCAAATGACCCGCATACTAATCTCCAAACGTTTTCAAGCGTAATACATTGCTTAACCAGTGACGTTTTCGACTGCAGAAGGTAGAATAAATATGTTAAGTGTGTAAAAGTCGCTGCGAACGCTTTATCTCTTAACGGGAGACGACGGATGCGATCAATTCACAGCCTCTCGTTCGATGCGCTCGTTCCGGACAAGACGAGTGACGTCACGGCGGCAGTGAGCAGGCCTGAAAATATTTTTTTGTGGTTGCATTGGTCAGGCACCACGAGGATGC